GTTCATTATTTGGAATCGATTTTTTTTTTTTTTGGACATTAATAAATTATGTTAACGAATAGGTTATATTTCATCATAACTACTTCAGACTAGTTTTATTATGAAATAGAAACAGTTTAGGCTGACCAAACTAGTAATTAATATTGCGGTAAGTTCTTGGAACTAACAAAAACAGATACCAAAATGAAAATTCTATTAAAAAACTTAAATTGGATCGAAGTTGATACGCATTAATTCTGTATACAGTTGACACTCTCACATATTAACATGAGGTACATAGGATATTTAATGCTCTTTTAAATTGATTTTTTCGAGAGATGCATAGATTTTGATTTTTGGAGAAAAAACCGTTATAAACAGATATTTCTTCTGAAATATACATACAGTCAATATTCTCTAACTCCTCGCCCGTTGGACCTACATCAAAAAGCTATGTATAGAATTTATAGTAAATTTTATATTATGTAATTTTGTATATAGTAATAATTTTGATAAAATGCATCGTTTCGGAGTCATGTCCAAAAAAAGTTAGGAAATTTCACGGTTTTTTGCATATACCTCGGAATGCAGTAAAAAAATTTAAATTCAAATTCAGTATTCCAAAAAACATAATATAAACAGAAATCGACTATTTGAACATTTTCCTCGTCCAGTTTTCAAAATCCAACGAAGTACATCGTCAGTTAAGGTGAATTTTCTTTTAGGGGCATATTCTTGACATCATAGAAAAATCTGCTCCTTTAATGTTACCAGACCAGAGGATTATCTTCAGTTCAGGGCTCTGAATTTAAACAAATTAAGAGCCGTTAGTTGTCTCAGAGTAGCAAGTAATGATTTTATGAAAATATGCTTAAAAGATGCAACTTTGACTATTAAATCCAGTGAGGTATGTGGTGCAGACAACTGCCTTGTAACTGACCCGGTAACTCATTTTCTGATCCAATGTATCAAGTTCAACAAGCCAAGAAATAAGTACCTGAAGACATTTATCACTGAATCCAGAGAAGATGCTAGTGTGGAGGAGATACTGAAAATAGACAATATGAAAAAAATAAACCAACTGTATTATTTCATACAGGGCTGTTCATTGAACTGTTAAGTGGTATAGTTAATCATATAACATATATTAATGCTTACTTATATTGTCATTTGTCTTATACTTCTGGAATATTTAAAAAAAAAAATGTATTATTGAAAAAAAAAATGTTTTACTAATTGTTTATGTATATATATATATATATATATATATATATATATATATATATATATATATATATATATATATATATATATATATATATATATATATATCATTTACTAATATGTTATTATATTAGTCATACTTAATGCTGTGGACATTGTTAATGTTATGTTTGAACGTAATACTAGACTCAAGATCTAACATTGTTAGTTATACCATTATATTTATTTGTACAGGAATTTCCATAGACAAATAAAATAAACTATACTATACTATACTTGACATCATAGCAAAATTCGGTTCTTCTGTTAAATGAACCGTCATATTTCGCTTCTTTAATTTAAATTTTCTTATATAAAGCAATTTTTTTAAGTGATTGACCGTAGTTTTATATTCTGATGAGGATTATCTATAATTTAAAATGGTTTCTAGCGGTAAGTCCAGTAGCTCCTAATCAAAGAATTTTTCAAATTGGACTTGTTATTGAAATACGCGCTATGGATCAAACAAACTGTTGAGGGTTGTATATTAGTATCGATTAGTGTTTTTAAATCGAGTACGGAGCCAAAAGTCGTTAGGCGTCTAATGTAGGTGTTACCGCCTTCGCAGCAGGTCTCATGAATCGATATTTCGTAACCGGCAACTTATGAATGACTATCGAGATATTTCTACGATAAAATTCTGAAAATTCTTACATCATATTGCCCTGGCACAGCAATATGATGGATACTTCGTGTTTAAGACCAAAGATTATCGATTAATGTTATAGAACATTTTAAATTAATTTGTCATTTTTGGTGTTTATTTTTCTTCCTATTTTTTTAAATTTATATTATACTGAAAAAAATTACTCGATATTTTATTGAATTCAGTTCGATTTCAAATAGGACTATAATATATATATATATATATATATATATATATATATATATATATATATATATATATATATATATATATATATGATAGAACAAGGTACAGTACATCACTAGCCGACCCAAGATTTAATTTTGGGGGAGGCTTCTGCCCGAAAGCTTTTTTTTCATAAAAATAACGATAATTACTTTGAAAAAAAGAAGGAAACTAACTAACTATTTGAAATGGTGTTCAAGTGATTCCTAAAGTTCTTTTAAATCTAATTACACGAACAATAATACTTTAAGAGAATTTTTTAAATATTTGTTTCTATAAAACATAGTTATATTTTACCATTTTTGGGGAGGGAAGGGGGGCTTCAGCCCAAAGCCCCTCCCCCTTTAGATCAACCCGTGCAGTACATCTACAGTTAGAAACAAAATAATATACTCATCTTAAAAATTGACTCATAAGAGAACGAAAGGAAATAGTAAATAAAATTTAATTTACATGCCAGTTTTGAATTTAGACCCGCTAAATTTCTAAAACAACCCACTATGCGTCGCACTTTGAAACCATCCGAATTTTGAAAACTCCTAACTTTTTTAATGACATTTTTTTAGTTTTAATAAGATTTTCAGTTGTGAAATTGGTCAATTCTTCATGAAATTCCGTTTAGTTTTATAGTTCATTCATCAAAATTCATCTCTCCTGAGATCTAGAAAAGAGGTGTATAAAGCAGTAGATTATTATTTTATAAATTATCATTTATGTTTTATAAAACATACTCCTTTGGAAGTATAGATTTTATTATTTAAGAATTTGGTAACCCAACCGAAAACTACCCTTCCGCGTTATCAGTAGTGTTTTGTTTGGTACGGGCTATGCTTCGTCCCATGAAGATATCTTTTGTCATTCCAAAATGACATTCATTTCGAAGGATTGATGTCAGTCATTAAGAATTAATTCTCCAGTATGTTAAGTAATTGCCTTTCGAATCGTCACAAGTAAACACAATTAAAATGATAAATGTCTATTTTAAAAGGGTAGAACCTCAAAGGAAATACAATAAATTTAATTTTAAAAAATGGAAGGTTTCAATATTCAGATGGTCTCAGAAGTTGACGAATCGATTTTAATCGTTGTTTTAAAGCCCTAAACAATTGAATCTGAAATTTAAATTATCTTAATAAATTTCATGTTCATTACATCTTACATATTTGTATGTGACAACCTATATACATATTATTTCTCATTTTTTTTTTTTTTTTATAAAGGCCATATCTTTATTAATTCTTCATCAAATTGAATGATTAAGGCACAATTTTTAAGATTGTTTTCGTCTTACTGTGCGAAAAATAAGTATGTCTCTCAAAAACGTAAAGGAAAAAAATTATAAAGAAAAGGAAACTTTATTTGCATTAACTTCAAAAATATACAGTTTATGGTTTATAGGAAAACTAGAGAGGTTTTCAAAATATCTATAAAAATGAAAAAAAAAAATCAGTGCAAGAATTCTATGACCTACGGACGTTCATAAATAGAACAATTATAACAAATATTTAACAAATATGAGGATATAAGAAATTACGAATTTTACTTATATGAAAAATTTAGGAACAATAAAAAAAATTCTTGAAGATGGGGCAATCTCAGAACGTTGAATATGTAACCGAATTATAAAAAAAAAAAAAAACTATTTATTTAGGAGGAAGAAATAACATTTCGCATGTTAAAACTATCCATCCTGTATATAATAATATATTTAAAAAAAATCTCAAATTCAGAACATTGTTAGCAAAAGTACTTTGGGTCCATTTTATTTTAAATGAAAATTAATATCTCCCGTTAATAATACCTACCCCATATCATATTGCCACCTTTTCACTGACTAATATAATATGTGAATTATTCGCAAAGGCTAACTAGTAAATAATATTAACATTTTTATTTTTTCGCAAATGACAATAATGTGTGAGAGACCATAATAAATTGAAATGTGTTAGATTGTATCACGGGAGGATCTACGGGGGGGAAGGTTTTGGGGCTGAAGCCCTCCCCCAAAATGGTAAAATATAACCATAAGAATTGTTACCATCTATTTACTTCAGTTTAGGATCTTGTTACTTAGCTTATTCTGTTTATATTTTAATGCACTTTTGATTTTAATAAGCTTATTCTTATATTGCTTATTTTTTTTTTTTTCTAAATAGTATATAACTACCACAATTCTCTATATATTTTTTGTATCTTGTCCGTTCTAGCCCTGAAGAAGACCTTCAAAGTCGGGTCGAAACGTTGGCTTTTAATAAAATAGTTTTGCCACTATTTAGCCTATTTATGATCGCCTCCCCAGACCATCTCCTACCTTTGTAAAATATAAATATTAAAAATTTATCTCTTAAAGTATTATTGTTCGTGTAATTACATTTAAAAGGACTTTAGAAATCGCTTAAACACCATTTCATACAGGTAGTTAATTTCTTTTTTTTTCCAAAGTAATTATCGTTATTTTTATGAAAAAAAATCTTTCGTGCTGAAGCGCCCCCAAAATTAAATCCTGGTTCCGCTAGTGGTTTGTATATTGTTTAAAGGGGGCTAATAAATTCTTTCGCATTATATATTATTAGGTTCTTAATTGCGATAATATTTTATAAACATTCAAAACTTTTATTATAATGTAAACGATATTTTTCGATGATAAACGTTTAAAAATAATTGCTATTAAAATATTATAAGTATATTTACTAACACTGGTCCTTGCTTTCTGAATGTCTATTTTTATACGTGAGTTCATTGATTTTTTTTTTTTTCATACTTATTAAAACTGTCATATATGAAATATTTCAAGTTAAAATGTGGAACAGCTGATTCATGAAGAGGACAAATATTCGTAGAACTGTTCAAATTGATATCGATAATGATAAGCTTGCACAGTACTTACAACACAAAGAGGTAGAACCAAGGAGAACACAGAGCACGGCGATGTAAGATGACAGCTGACCTGAGGACATCCTGCCTGAGACACTATCTGGGGAGCATACTCTCCAGCACTGGAGTGGTGAAAGCGGATGTCCTGCCTCGGTCATGTTCGGCAATCTTCGCCAGTCCTCGGTTGGCTATCTCCCACCAGCTCCCGGTGAATTGCAATCTCCTATTGTTACTGTCAAGCTGGCGTACTCCTTCCAATGCAATGGATCAAAGCTCTTAATAGTTACAGACAATTTTCAAACAGTTTCAATCTGATGTTTATTTAAAAGAGACTTTTGAAAAGCTTCTTTAATAACTTTTGACGAAAGAATTTCAATTATGTTAAAAAAAAAAATCCAAACTTATGTCCTGCGAACCACATTGAAACCTGCAATAATATCCATAAATCTATTTTTAAAAATACTGAAAGTGAAACGTAGGTGTTACCAATGCATCCGCAAGAAAACTTCGATTTTTTCTTTTAATAGGAAAAAAAAAATAGTGTGAATGTCATCCTACCTCACTGTAACCAATGTCCAAAAGACAGATTGTTATAATACTCAATAAAAAAAAATAGAAAAATAACTTTATTCCGGAACGAAGTCTCCTAAGAATAACAAAAGGTTACAGAACAAAAGAAATACTTCTAGTCAGAATAATTAAATTAAATAAAAAGAGTTACATTAAATAAATAAAAAAATCTTATAAAACTAACACAATAAACAAATCCGAACTAAAGAAACTATATATAAAATATCTAGAACTAAACAAAATACAAACAAGAAATGAAACAAAATAATCGCTGCTTAGCTAAAAATAAATAAAAAGGATTAATTAAAAATAAATTCCTCTAACAGATGAGCACCAAGTAAAATAAATAAAGTAGAGTAAAATATAAAGAAATAAACATTTATATATTCTATCTTCGTACATATTAAAACATTTATAAATTAAAAAAAAAATGTTTTTTATTTATTTCCTCGAATACTAATTTATTGAGACCATTTTTATTTTATTTTTTTCCCTGCCCTCCTCTTCCTCACCTTTAAGGCTATACGGGGTTTTCCCGAGCCGGTAGGTGAGGGCGGTAATTTAATATCTCTTCCATCACCGGGACGCGAACTCGTACTTTTTTAATATATGATAACTCTGGTTATCACGTCGCCGGGTAACCCGCGATGCTCTGCACACGCGTTAGCCCATTCGGCCATCCCGTTCCTAAAAAGTAACAAGGTGAAGCCAGTCTTGAACCAGGATATTTCACTACGTGAAATAATGCCTCTACATTATGATAGCGCTTATAGAGACCATGTTGTACGCCAAAAACTAGATGGATATATAGCATAAACAAAGATGTAATAGTAAATTTCTATAACTGCAGGGGTACCCATCCCCTCCCTCCCTAGGCCGATAGAGCATAAACCTTCCCCCACCCCTCCCAAGATATTGTATTCCTATCTTCTTCTTTAAAACATTGCAAACGAAAGTAGAATTTAAATATTTCTAGATTATATACAATAACACATCCTGCAGTCTGTTCCATGCTTACAATTCTCTTTTTATTTGAAACTTTTCACTTTAAAAATTCATAACCTCGTCAAAAAGTGTCCCCTTCATAAATTTTATAAATCTTCATAAAGACCTATGGTCTAAGTCAGAGATATTGTTTCAGCTGATGCCATTAATTAGTTATCAACATAGAATAGAATAGAAAATAACTTTATTCTGGGACGAAGTCCCTTAAGAATAACAGAATATTACAGAAAAAAAAGAATAACATCTGATCAGAAAACTTGTTACATTAAAAAGTAGCTAGAAAAAAGCTTTAGGTAAATAACTATATATACAAGAATATAATAATCAAAAGAAATATATTAAAAAAGCCTAAAAAAATAACAACAGTAGAATACAAAATAAGGTCCTCTAATAAATGAGCAACAAATCTCCTATGAATAAAAGAAAATTTCAATTCATATTGAAATACACATACACCGAAATATGTACATAAACCGTGTTATCAATAGAAAGATGGTGTGAAAAAAATATATATACATACACATGCATATATTATGTACAAATGACCATAACATATATAGCATATATTATGTATAAAAAACAAATAAATTAAGATAAAAAATACTGTTTTTACATTATTACTTAATATGTTCTTAGCCGTTTTCTGACTGTTGAGGTTGGTTTTGGATCTGATTGGAGGATTCTAAAAGTGGATTGGGAGGGAGCATGTCGAATTTTTAGTTTTGAAAAGAGGCAGATCTGTGAAAAGGAGCATTAAGTTCTGATGGTCGGGATCTTGTGGTGAGAGAGTGGACAGAGAACTTGAATTGGAGATCATGTAGGAGAGGCGACGACTGTTGGTAATTTGATAGAGGAATGTGCCTAGGAAATACTGTCTACGGAAGGAAGGAAAGAGCCTCTTTAACTCGGCGTAATGTAAGGAGACACGGGAACGTTCTGGGTTTCCAATGACAAATCTAACAAAGATTCATAAGTTTTCTCAGTCTGTCACCGAGACCCACTGAGAGACCGCCGTACACCACGCTGCCTTAGTAAAAGTGGGGGAAGACAAGAGAAAAACGAGTTAAGAAATGAAATAGTTTTAGAAAATGAGAATATTTTTCAAATATACTAAGAACCTTTGAAGTTTTAAATCCAGCATCTGTACCAATGAGCTAAAAATAATTAGCTTCTGTTCAGTATCGGTAATAGAAATATGGCGTACCAGAGTAATTTTTCACCCTTTCACGTCGCCCAAAAGAAAAATCAATTTCTTAAGCTTCAGTATGTTAATATTTGAATTGTATTTAATTCGATGTGTATCTTTTTCAGTTGGTTTTTTAATACACCATAATCAATTCCCTTCACACGCTTTATGTTTTTATATAAATCTTAATAATAAATAAATATGTCATAAATATACCTACGACACAATTTAGATTAGTTCCGCATTTATTTGGGAACTTTAACAATGGAATCTTTTATAATAATCTTGGGTAGGGTCTTACCTAAAAAAAATTAAATAATCTGGTACTGTGATCGCTTCATACAACTTTCACTTATAACCCTTTTCTTAGCAGAAATAAGTATTTTCAGATAATGGGTAGTGAAAATAAAAAAATATAGACAGTATGAAATATTATTTAAAACAATGACCATATGGTTTTCATAGCTGTCTAATGCATTGGGTTGACATTTAAGTTCTTCCGGTTTTTTAGGGTGAAAGAAAACTCAATGTATTATAGACATAAAATTAATTTTAATCTACAATATATTGCCCATTATTTAATATGACTTTTTCCCATCTTTCCACTAACTGTATAATGCCACGATCATAGAATGTCTGGAGTTTATTGTTAAAAAACTGATCAGTGGTTTTTGATGCCCTCTTCCTTTTGGATTTATTTCCCATTCATCGAGTTCTGCAGAGACCGGAATAAGTGGTAGTCACTTGGAGCTAGGTCTAGTGGGCAAAAGGTCCCATCCAAGGCTCAATAATTTATTGCGAATGACCATTCAGTTGTGGGGCCTTGCGTTGTCTTGGTGTAACACATCACCCTTCCGATCATTTATAACTCTTCAGGATGTTCTCCAAATTAGATGTTACTATATCCGTTGGAAAGAAACGGTATACGGATTAAGATAATTTTCCTCTCCATGTCATCAGCAAACTTATAACAGACCACAAAAATCGCTCTTCCTCAATCTCGACCTCCACTGTTTCTCCACAACCCATTTCAGCATCCATATACAGATCTCTACCTTATATTCCTAATATCTCTGAGAACATAAACTAATATTTACGATCTACTAACCCTAACTTACGACTTGCCTTCAAATCTCACAACACACTTTCAAATTTGTACACATCCTTAAAAGATCCTGTTCCTCTTTCACACCGCTCTCATATCGCTTACCGTATTCCGTGTTCTACCCCCAATCGTTTTTCATCTTATTTTGGCGAAAACAAAAATCTTCTAAAAGACCGCATCGCCCAACATAAATATTCTGTATCCTCTCGTAATTATACTGCCTCCAAATTATCCGAACATTCTCTCTCCTTATATCATACATTTGATTTCGATAAAACTTCCATCCTTGCCTCCGTCCTTAACCATGACAAACGAATCATCTCTGAAATCCTCCACATCCAGCTCCAACCTAAGACAGTGAATATAAAAACAGACAAACAAAACTTATCCTTAGCCTATTCCCAAATTCTGAATTTATTAAAACATCCATAGCAATCTCCTTTTTTTCCTTTTCGCTGACAACAGGGGAAGCGGGATAGCTCAGTGGTAGGGCACTGAGCTTCCAATGCAAAGGTCCCGAGTTCGAACCCCGGCTAATGGCAGAAAATTTATTTATCTGTTTTGTTGGCCGTGGGACGACCTTGGGTCGGGAGTCCCTCCTGGGGCACACCCAGCCTCTATAAAGTGGGTACCCTTAATTAAATAATTAATTAAGGGGGGAAACCTGGCGGTTGAGCGTGATCTCGGTCAAATCACCTCCTTGCACAACCCTGCACCTAGAAACAGTGCTTTCTCTAAATAGTACTGAACCCCAGACCCTTCATGGGTTGTAGTGGTACAGGTTTTTTTTTTTTTTTTCTCTCTTTCGCTGACTATTTCCTTATTGCTCTTTAATTTAATTAATTTTCGTTTTTTTTTTTTTTTATCTCATTCAATTTTTTCCTATTCGTTTTCTTTATCTCACATTACACGCGGACCAGTAATACTCCATTATTACTTACTATTTATTATATCTGCATTTGCTATCTCTTTTAATTTATTCTATTTTATATTATTATACTATATTTATTCTTTTTTTATACCATATTACATTGTAATTCCTCTTTATTTTTAATTCTTTTTCGTTTTCTGTCATCACGCTTTCCACATTGATCATTTATACTCCACTATTATTTAATGTTTATTACCTCTACATTACACCGCCTCCTTTATTGCCTTGTACATAGACTTATTCATTTCCATTCAACCTTCAGTTTTCTTCTTCTTTTTCTTTAATCTCATTAAAGATATTGAATTCTTTATCTCACGTTTCACGCAGATCAGATATTCTCCATTATTACTTTACATTTATTATCTTTGCATTATACTATTTCCTTAACTTATTCTATATTATCCTTAATACATACTATATTACATTATACTGCATCTTTATTTTAATTATT